CGTTTTGTGGCTTTACAAGATTTCACCGGTCTCCATTTGGTGGCTCGACACGTGGATGGGAAGTAGTAAAAGCACAAAATGTTCCCCCTCCCCATCGCCGAACTGAGCTGAATTTTGTCCATAGAGGCGGAATTTCATGCCTAAATAAAAGAAATTTTCAAAGAAACTGGAAAGTGTCATCCTTGACCTGTTCCAAGTTTTTCCTCTGCTCTACTTCAACGTATCTAGTGTTGCTGCGAAGGTAACTGAAAAATGACTTGCCAATTTCTGCAGTTGTCGAAGTTATTTCGAACTATAATGTTCGTGCTTGCAGCTGTTTCGGTACTTTCATGAATAAATCGTGAAAACTAATAGCTTCAAGAAGAAGTTTTCCCTTCTGCTCACTTTATCTTGCCGATTTGTGCGTATTCAGTGGAAATTTAACTCGCTGAATTGAAATAGGTGAAGAAGTGAGGCGCAAGCGTTCCCTGTACCATTTCTCATTTTACTTGGAAATCATTCACACAAAGTTTGATTTGCTCACATCTCAAGAGAGGGTATATCATGGAGATTTGGAAGTTTTCCTCAAAACTACCCCATTCCTCGATGTGACACCCCAACTAGTGTTGCGAGGGAACTACCGGTTGGAGTAAAACTGCCTCCTCTCTACTATATTTTGTCGAGAAGGCATACTGCCTCGGCAACATCAACAATAAAAAAAATTTTGGCAAGCCAATTACGACCCTCTCACCTAGAGTCTAAGTGAAAGACTCCTCGATGTGGGTTTCTTAAAATTAACTGGAGTATCCTTATGTTGTTGCCATGTGCGCAATCTGCTTCAAGGTTTTCGGAGTATCAGCCCAGCGACGGCTCGCGCTATGTATTCTCGCGCCTTTTTATGAATTTTCAAACGCTTGGTTCGTTGCACTGAACTTTGTGAACCAGCGGCACAACATTCAGCAGAGCAGCTTGAATAGTGCTTCTATGAGGTTTTAACTACTTTTTTCAACAGAAACTAGTACCTCTAGGGACCTTCTTAATAACATCGTGTGTAATCATTTCCTTGAGGAAGTTGTGTTACTGCTTTTTTGTGATTCATGTAATTCAACTTCACTTACAAGTTAAAGCCGCTCTTGTAGCGTGTTCTGCTTGAGCGTATCGCTGTCCCACGGCTTGGGAGCTGCCCAACATGTGAATGAAATTTTAAAGGAGGTAGTTCTGAAAAGGTTTTGTGGGTGTACACTCCCCTCTTCCCTTTATTTCGTACCTCTTGGTCTGGTGAAGACTTTTATCTGACGAGTGGCGGACTTTAGATACCCGGGTGGGCGTGGCAAAGGGGGGCGAAGACTCGACGTGGACGGATATAATTAGGCTTCACCCCTTCTTCCTGAGCTTGGAGATGATAATCCTTTTTTGTCAAAGAGCTATGTGTTTCTTCTGCTTGAACTAAGAAGTTCCAAAACGAAGAAATAATTTAGATTGGAGTTTATGCTTTTTGTTAAGGTACACATTAGGCAGAGGCAAAAAAATGGCTACCAGGTATTACGTATGATCATGAGACCAACATTAAGCACACCTTGAAGGCATTCAGCGTTTACCTTGTAAACGGTGCTCCCGTCTAATATCTATTGCGGCACAAATTTGGGAAACACCGGTCCATTTCGAAGCCTTGCCCCTGTGGCCACGCCCACCCGGGTATCTAAGTGCCCGCACCCTTATCTGTCATCCCCTTCCTGATCCCGCTCAATTGGCAATTGGCGGTCCCACCAGGGCCCTATACTATTTTTCAAATGTTGAACGTAGCAGCTGTTTGTGACCTGCCTCCGCCCCACACCAGTTTTCTGAGAAATGAACTGCAAATCTTCCAAGAAACTGGCAAGAAGTAGGAAAAAATTTCTTTCATGATGTGTATTTTTCTGTAAGTATTTTGTTTTAAAATTTGTTCCAACTCCTTGAGGAAAAAACATCCTGTTTTGATTCAGTTGAACAGAGATATCTAGTAGATCAAGATTTTAACGAATTCAGCTAGCTCATGTTAGACTTCTTTTTTGCTTTGCAAGTCTTCTTTCCTGCACGCTTGCAGCCCAGCAGTTGTTCAGGAGGGCAGCAAATGTTTGCATAACATTCTGTTCTTTGATGTTTGGCGGAATGCACTATCAGAGCAAGAATAGAACGGGTAAGATAAGCTGTAGTATATCGGAACTCTGATACACTCGGATAAAGCCCCTGCCATGATCAAGCCTTTTTGGGGTGTGGCGCACATTCGATTTCCATCCAGAACTGTAGTGGCTTGTTGAATGCGATATGGCCTATACAGTAACTTGCATGAGTCAGCCAATGTACAGAGGTCTTTCCATTCCCAGATGAACTTAATAGCATTCTAACGTTACCGGAGTGGTTGAACTTAGTAGAAACCTATCCGGGGTTTTGCAGTAAGCGGACCACTTGCCTCTAAAGCACCTCCGCTCTCTAGCACATTACCAGCCCATTATGGCTACTGGTTTTCTTCAGTTCTCAACTGGGTCGGTTGAATCAAACAACTGCCGTGATCTGCTCGCAAAATGAGGTGCTTTCATGAAGGAATATTTCGGCGTAAACTCTCTCAACATAAATTTCTGATGATTTCGTAGTGGTATGAAGACTCCATCGTCGAAAATACGTGGAGGTTCTTGCAGTTCCTTGCTTTATAAAGGCTCCAAGAGCTACTGATGAGCAAGAACTACAATATCGGCGTAGCGCTGAAGCTAGCCATCCAGAAAGCAAATGAGTTTAAAAACTGTCCAAAAATCGCTCCTGGTAAGAGCTCAATAAATCTGCCACAACCCCCCTTCATTTCCAACCTCACTTCCACGAGACAGTTGTGCCATAGTCGTTATTGTATCTGATTTGAAGGAGTGCCAGGTCTGTTCTGGAATGATTTTAGTGGCTGTTTTATCAGCTGCGCTGCTTTCGAGTATGTATGTGTTTTAGTTGGGTTCTGTGGGTGGCAAGCCAAAGGACATAGAAAGTGCATGTCACATGACTTGCTTTGTTAGTACATCTGCATGTACGTGCAGCGTAGTGGTGGGGGTGAGACAGGGAGAGGGAAGAGTCCAAAAAAAGGCATTTTGCTCATTGAGCGTAGTCGTAAAACTTGTTTTGCACTGAATGTGGATACTTTGGACATTCACATCGGATACCAGCTTTAATCACTGCATCTCTAGAATCCGTCGAACCAAGGCCTCAAGGCGTTCCTGGTGATGTTCGTGAGCAAGGCGTGGACCTTAGAGGGTTGCTTTCACGACCAAAAGTCTAGTGTCCTGCCTACTGGTAGACTCCCAGAAGTCTGTGCATATGGGTCTCCCGTGGGAATTGCGCTGCTGTTTCAAGCTGACGCTAATGTTGCTGGCCTTCTTGTGCTCGTCGACGGTGATAAATGGCTTCAGCATCAACCAACGATGTAGAAACTGAAGTAGGGCTTGCTTCTGCTTCTAGAACAAAAGAAATTTGAGGTCTTCGGGATCTTCCATGCCGTTTACAATGCAGCTCGTCACCTTGGGCTACGTAAACTTTGCTAGTTCGCGCTCCGGGCAGCCTTTTTTGCCCTCCCCCACACTGTGGTTGCTGCACATTGTATTCAAAGCGCTGTTAATAGTCAGATGTTCCACATCTATATTTGTGGGCGGGATCAAGCGTAAGGTAAGGAACCCGTTATAGAGGATTGTATTTGGTCGCTTCAGGCGGAGACTGTATGTGACCTGATGGGTTTTTCTGTATTTTTCCGTATTTTTTGATTTTTTTCCACCTTTCGGGCGTGCTGTGTATCGACCCCTACCCGTGGTTGGCGGCGGGTTGTATTACTGTTTCTGATAGTTCGTTGGGGGTTTCTACACCCTCTTTCCTATCGAAGGATAGAGGTCGAGGTGATCTTATAGAGGAGAGATGCCGTGCTTGACCCCGCTCTTGGGGGAGGGGGGAGAGGAGTGTAAAAGTTAGAGTACGGGTAAATAGCGAAAGATGCTGAGATTCAAGACTGGGGAAAAAGAAGTGCGCTGAGTTCTTCTAAGAAAACTCAATTTCTGCGAGGTTCTGACTAGTAGCAAAGGGCTCGCTTACCACGATACGAGGGTCAAATTCCATTTCCAGCTCTCCCCAATCCAACCAAGCCTATCCTCCGGAGCCTTCAAGTAGGTACCATACTTGTCTGGGAGGATAAAACACTCTGTACACTCCATTTGTACGTACTCTGGCTGCCCGTAAGTCTGTACAGCCATATCCCATTCACTAACCCAATAGGATACTAGATGGAAGTGTCATTTGGGTGCTGCTTCGCCCGGGGAGAGTGTGGGAGACATTTGGCTAGCTCCTGTTATCTAACATGTCTCACCTTGGTGAGACCTGAGAATTCTTGTCAAGTACAGACGAAGCTCATAGTACTGAACAGCTTCACATGAGTTTACAAGTCTTCATCGGGGCATCAGAAGTGACCAACAAAATGACCCTACCAAGCAAAAGTGCGCCGCAAATGCGTACCACATCTCATAAAGACTGGTCAACCGCGAGGGATTTCATTTTTCTTTCAGTAAATTGTTAGGAAAGCTGATTCTATACGAAAATGAATCATTGTGTGGCATTTTATCAGCAAACAAAATCTACATATTTTCACACTTACGAGTCGATCGCTATTCCATCCATCCGTTTTGTACATCGTGTGATGGCGTATGTGCACGCACGTGTGTGTGTGTCTGTGGGATGTGACAGAAAGTTTCCACCCCTCCCGATTGCAATAGCATCCGTTTGTATAGTAAATTGATATCGATTCCGGTCTCTTCACTGGTTCTAATTAAATGTCCATTTAAAGTGTCTGCATGATTGAGATTACTTTTGCTCGTACATTTTCGTTTTCATACCGAATTATCACGTATTTTACTACTTGATATAGTTTATTAAAACATTTTTGTGTTTCAGAAACTCAGTTCATGCTTGTTCATACTGAACGCGGTGTGATTCTTCGTTGAACACTACTCCTCCTCCTCCTCCTCATGGACACGGTCGTATTCCTAGCGTTGGCTGTTCTAGCAGCCGTTTTTATAGTGTCACTTCTGGTATTGCTAGTGATGTGTCAACGGCGTCGAATGCAGATCAGGAGCTTCAAAGTAAGTTTGCAGAGATATTTTCTTTCACTATTCATGCAATTGGGACATTCTATGAATCTTTACTTACTTCTGTTCCATATAGATTTATGAAGTTACTCGATTTGGAACAAAGATTACTAGATACCATTAGGCGCAATCGGTCGACTTATGGGAGGGTGGGGGAGGGGGTCATTTTGCTTTTTTTTTGCTACTTTCTATCGACGTAACGAGCCACCTGGAACGCATTTCATGAGCTCACAGGAGTTGACAGGTTCCCATGGTGGCTCGACGCGTCTGCTCCAGCTTCACAAGGGTTCACAGCCTCCACCAGAGTGAGACAGACTAGTGAACAAGATTAGTGGGCTGCGAATGTACAAAATGCCCCCTCCCACCTTCCGCGTCTCCACGTTCCAACATAGTCGCCTTCTCCAGAGCCTGGAAAGTCGAAAGACATCCAGGAAACCCTCAGGAAACCCTAATTACTGTGAGCTATGCTAGACGGGGTCGTAGGGGCTCTGAAAACTGACCTTATGCAAGGTCGGCCGAGGAGTTCCACCTGTCCCCTGATTTGGAAGAAAGTCGGTCTCATAGGAACTAATAGTGATCTTCATAAGACGCGATAAGCTTAGGTTTCCTAAAGGTATTTCCAGCTGAATCGGCATTACTGACCAACTCAGTTGTGCATAGTGGGCCTCTCCATGCTCGACTTCCTAGGTCACTTTTCATAGCTTCTGTGACACCGTTTAGTAACGCCCTTTTGAATTTTCCAGTAATTTGAAGTGGTGTTTATGAAGGGGCTTTCCTAGGCGCCTTTCGACTTTCCAGATTCTGAAGAAGGCGACAAGACCAAAAGGTCAGTCGAATAAAACTCTCCAACAATTTTTTTCACAAGCTGAGGACGTCATAAACTTCCACTTTTTCACTTTGATGTTCTCTGGTTTTTTTTTCTTGATACATATTCACCGCTGATATGACGCTATTGCAGCTAGCGAGTGCCACTGCAGGGTTTTCCAAGCTACGTAATGAGAATCTTGATGGTCACATAATGCAGCTCAGTCCTCTTATTGGTATGTTGGATTTTGTTTGCTCTATTTGAACTTTTTTTGCAAGGCTTTGTTGCGAAGCCCTATAGCGCTGACAGATGGAGAACAGTGGCTGCCAAAGCGTCGAATGGTGCGAAAGAACATGTGGCGAGCAGAGGGTGAGCTTTCTCAAAGGGAGGGGCCCCGGACGAGTTGAGCCTTTGTCATGCGTCAGAAAAGTCAAACTGTGTGAGGTCACGGTGGGCATAGGCTGTGCAGACGAGAAAGTACAGAGAGTTAGGGCCAAGTTCAAGCTGTAGAGCTTCCATCAAGGTTTAGCGAGATCAGGGCGCTGTGGTGGTTTTTTTTCTTGACGGTGGGGGGGGGGCAGCGTGTAACGGTCGATTAATGCCTGGAAATAAGTAGGTGTCATGAAAATGCTGCTCTTCCCTAGAACGATAGTTTTGTTAATAATCTTTGTTTATCTGTTTATTTATCCACTTATTAGGTTCTGGAAAGTTACTTCCTTTCGGAACGCAGGATGAGCTAGTCGGAGCGGTTCCTATGTCAAGCTTGATTCCGATTGGTACATGGTACAATAGTTGATCAGTCACTCTCATTTAGAATCTAGTTTGGCGCTGTTCGGCTTGGTTGGGGCACTTTGCTGGTTCACAGCGATACTAGCGATGCCTCCTGTGGAGACCTGTAAATTCCAGTTAAGATGTCCTAGCGCTACCTTCGTTTACACTTGATTGGAATTCACAGGTCTTACCAAGGTAGGACGTGCTATTTAACAGGAACAAGCAAAAGAGAACTAGTGGAATTGAAAAGTGCCCCTCCCAAGTCGAGCAGCGTGATTTGTTTATGTTCATTCCTAGGCTCATAACACTGAGTGCGACGTTAAGGTAGCGACTTAGAACTAGTCCACGCTTTTCAAGCGGTCCCAACGCAGCTGTTCATTTCTTTGCGTGTTGAGAAC